CTTGTCCACTGTTTCCTTTTATACATTTGCTTCTGCTTAGGATCTTTCTGGTCATATCAGTTGTCGCTTCTGGATTTCCTTTAGTGTAACAGTTCCTCATTTCCATTTGCCTACTTCGGAATCTCGAGTTAACTTTAACCAGCTGAAACCAAGTAAAAATAACCTGATCTAAACTAAAACTCTCTTTATTAAAACCTAATCTCATAGGTGAGAATCAAACACGATGAAAGAATGAACTCCCTCCCACTTGAAATATAAACTCATACTCTAAAAGCTCAACAAGTAGAAACATTCTGAATTTATAAAACAACTCCGACTTGAAGAACCCACCATGAACTAAACCTTATTACATCGGCTAAATAGTAATTACACAGTAGTCTAGTCTTGCAAAAACATTATTTAAACGGCAGTTTCTTTTAACAAATCAAAATTTGCTTTATTTGACGTCAAGAAAAAAAGATAATTCTGTCGTCGGTTTGATCTTTTAGCGTCCATGCGAGACAAATGGTTCCGTGAACGTTAACGTAGCCACCGAACTTGGCTGCGCAAGTGACTCAGCTGCTTTTTCACCAGTGGCTGCAACGTTTTCTCGAGCTTTCACAATTTCAAGCAAGTTTTGAGGTAGCTGAGCCACACCGTCCAAGAACTGAATGACGATCGACATGCTTGGTCTAATGGCTGCAACCGGATGCGAACAGAGCAAACCAAGCTTCAGAACCAGTGTTACTTGCTCCTCAAGGTACTTGTCATCATGCTTAACCTTCTCATCGATCACATGCAGTATATCATCTTCCCAACATTCTAGAACCCAATCCGTAAGAACCATCTCGCTCGGCGAAGAAGCTCGTGGCAAGAGGTCTTCTCCCGCAAGTAATCTCTAACATGAATACTCCAAATGCAAATACATCAGAGCTTGTGCTTGCCTTTCCTGTTCTCGAAAGCTCCGGTGAGATGTATCCAAAGGTACCCGCCACGTTTGAGGTTTGCGGATCGATCCCGTGATCACAAAGCTTTGCCAGACCAAAATCACCGAGCTTTGCGTTCATAGATTCATCAAGAAGAATGTTCGCTGGCTTAATGTCCCTGTGAATAATAACTTGAACCCATTGTTGGTGTAAATAACAGAGACCAGAAGCTACATCTTTGATGATCTTGAATCTTTGTGACCAATCAAGACTCTGTTCCGGTTGGTGGTAGAGGAACTTATCAAGACTGCCTTTTGGCATACAATCGTAGACCAAATAGAGTTCGCCTTTGCGTCTGCAGTAACCAAGAAGCCGAACTAGATTAGGATGTCTAAGACGGCCAATAGTCGCGATCTCGGCAATAAACTCTCTCATTCCTTGTCTCGAATCATGAGAAACTTTCTTGACCGCGATGTCCATGTTAGACGTCAATAATGTACCTTTGTATACTTTTCCAAACCCTCCTTTACCAAGAAGCTCATTGTTCTTGAAACCCTTTGTGGCAATGTAGAGATCCTTGTAAGCGAACCTATGTGGACCAAACTGAACCTCCCAGTCTTCAAGAACTTCCATTAATTTCTTCCTTTTCAAATAAAGCATGAAACTTATGGTAAAGAAGACGAGGACTACGAAGCCGGTAAGACTCAAACTTATAGCTAAGATCTTTTTCAGCCTACTCGGAAAGTCATTTTGAAATTTTCTAGGAAGTTTAGGAAGACGAGATGGATCTATGTTTGAAGCTTTCCCATTGACCTTGAAGGTCCAAGCCAGAATATAGTGAGCTGAAAGAACAGACCCTGTGGATGAAGTGAAGCCAACGTACATAGAATCGAGGAGATACGGCGATAGATCTCTGGTTAGAGAAAGCAGTGGAATCTTTGGCTTAGAGACATGAATAGGATGAAGTGTGACATAAGTTGTTTCCTTGAGGAATCATATTCAACCCATGCTTGTATCGGTTTTCGGCTAATAAGAGAGATGTTCCTGAAAGTACCATCGTCTTCGTAATAACCTGCTGTAGAAGCTTTCACTGAATTCAAGCTATTGATGTCGATGCCAACATGGTTATCATCTATGTCATTAAATTCACTGCTTTGGATTGTATCAAACTCAACTGCTACAACATGATTGGAGAAACTCCCATGGTTTGAGATATTAAAGAGCCCCATAAATTGCGAAGGAAAACTATAGGGCAAGCCTTTGGTAGGAGAGATGGCAAAAGCAATCCCATGGCCACTAAGAGTTGGAAACTGAGAGACTATAGCGAAAACAAAGGTGGTTGAGAAAGATGAAACAGTACTGTTTGTTGAGTTCTTGAACCGAACTGGTAAGTTGTAGAAAACTTGACCAGTTCTTTGAACGGTCGTATTTGTTAGCTCCAATAAGCCATTGGAGTCAAGATTGGCAGTTCCATAACTGTCATACAAGTAGCCATTGAAGCCGAACTCTCCTTCTGCATGCTGAGAATCTGCTTTGTTGGAGAAGAATTGCAGTAGAAAAAGAAACAGTAGTACAAACCTATTCATGGTTTTTTGCAAGACTTGTCTGATAAATGATCTTACAAATATGTTATTGATCTGAAAAAGAAGTGAATAATACTCTCCTCTCTCCATATAGTAGCAACGACTTGGGAGAGTCAAAAGTCTTGGTAACAAAATGTTGAATAGTCGATGTCTGGCCCCTCGGCAGTAACTGGTACCCGTTTCCTAATCAATCGAACTTTTTTTTTTTCCATCTGGTGAAGTATTGATAACCTGAAAGTGACATACAAATGATAATACACAATCCCGTGATAGGAGAGCCTCTAAGGCATAAGCACATTCTACTACTCCATCACTTACACACCGCTTAGTTCAGAAAGTAGAATAAAACTTTGAAAACTATAACAATGAAAACCAAAGACAAAGAAGAGTCATAACAAAGGAAAAAAAATCCAAGCCGCTCTGAGGCTTCTTGTTTGATACTCAACCCAATATCATTGAGGGAAAGTTGTTGATATGCATCACCGCTAGAAGAATTATTCAGAAAAAACGGAGAACAAGGAAACTTAACCGTTAGACGGGGAAGACCTGCCCCAAGAACATCTTCATCTTCATCAAACCACCCAAAGCTTTATTCGTACTTTAATAAACACGACAATGACGAAGAGGACGTATCAAATCGGAGCACAAAGATCGCCTCATAAACTCCAAGGTATCACTAGTAATCCGGAATCGAGACCCCAGAAAAACCTAACCTCCAGAGAAGCTCAAAGAGACAAGATCAAGCTATATATTTAATGAAACAACCCGACCCGTTTTTTTTTTT